ACTGAAGCCCGGATGGAGTGAAAAATAACTTACAGAAATCTCTCTGGAGTTCTTTAAGAAGCTAAACACTCGGACATAATACTTGTAGCAGGTGAATTTAATGCCCAAGTAGGTAGCTCAAACAGAACAGAAAGACATTTAGGTGGGCATTTTGGTATTCCGGCTCAGAGAACAGATAACAGTGATCGTCTGCTGCAACTGTGCCCAGACAATCGTTTATTTTTAACAAGCATTAGTTTTAAGTACAAGGAGGGACATCGTCTAAAATGGCGGTCGCATGCACCAAACCAACGATGAACTCAACTAGACCATATTGCCATCAGTCATCGTTGTTGAGGTTCGAAAGAAGACTACTGCTCGTTCTGGAATACATGCTTGGACTCCGATCATGTTCTAATACAAGCACGTATTTGCTTGTGCTTCACTGGACACGGTAAAGCCACATTAAGAAGACTCATTCGAGTTAAACTCAGTGACGAGAAAGTCAAAAGTAGATTCCAGGAACAACTTAGGCAACTCCGAAAACGAGGCCGACCCGGATGTTGCTTAGCAAGATATACAAACAGCAGTGACATCTACTAGTGATTTGAAACAAAGGACCATGAATAACCAGTGCATTTGTGCTACATCTCTTGCACTGCTAGACTCTCGTAAACTTATCCCATCAGGCTCCGAACACGATGATGAGCGAAAACAAATCAAATCTAGGTTAGCCCAAAGTCTATGGAACGATCGTGAGCAGTGGTGGGCAACGAAAGCAAAACAAATGGAAATGGCAGCGACTGTAGGTAACACCAGGCAGCTTTCCAGACTAATAAAAGAAACCGAAATTGGGAAGTCAAGTGTAAGACAATCTCTGAAAAAGACAACATTCTCATCTGCTCGCAGTACAGAGGTTTAGAACGATGGAGGAAACGCTTTAAGGAGAAGTTGGGCTTGCCTCCAACTATTTCACAGCTACCTACCATTTTTAAGCATCCTGAACGGAACATTGAAATAGGCCCTTGACTCTAATTGAAGTTCAAAAAGCTGTAGCTAATCTGGAACGAGGAAGAGCAGATGGATTGGCTCAAGTGGTCTTTAAGTAAGGTGGTCCAATTTTAGCGATTAGGTTGATTAATATTTTAGCTAAAATCTGGGAGTTGGATGGAATCCCATCTGACTGGTCGCAATCACTGATTGTCCCAATATATAAGGAGTCAAAATCATCCTGTGATAACCATGGAGGGACTAGTTCAACTAATATAGCATGTAAAATACCAGCCCCAATTGTTGTCGGACGCCTAACTAAGACTCGTGAACTGCAAACACGAGGAAATCAGGCTGACTTCAAACCTGGTCGTGGCTGCATCGACCACATATTCACCATTCGCCAGATCTTAGAACACAGACATGCTTATCGGCGTCCGACAATGACAGTTTATCTTGACTTAAAAGCAGCATTTGACTCTGTAGACCGAGAGGTTTTGTGTCAGTGTCTGTCATTGAAAAGTGTTCCTCAGAAGTACATAAGCCTTGTGAAGGCTATTTACTCGGACACCACCAGTCGGGTCAGTGCTTATGGAAAGTTTTCATCTGATTTTTCAACCTCAAGTATTGTCCGTCAAGGCAGTCCACTATCACCATTTCTGTTCAATTTCATCATAGACCTACTGCTGGAAATAACGTTCTCGTTGACTGAATTTTTGGGGATATTGACCTCCTACGAGGAGGGCTACTTATTGACTTAGAATACACAAATGACATAGTGCTGTTTGGTGAAGATGCTGATAAAATGCAGAGTATTTTGGTAGCACTGAGCAACAATGTCAGGATGTTTGGGATGCGTTTCTCCCTCTCTAAATGCAAGTTGTTGCTTCAGCGCTGACTTGGGTCAACACCTGAACTGTGGATAGGGAGTGAAGTAGTCGAACACGTCGACAACTTCACTTATCTCGGAAATCTGATCAGCCCTAATGGGTTGGTGTCAGACGAAATGTGATCGCGGATTCAAAATGGTCGTTTAGCTTACGTCGTCTCAGAGAATTCCACGTCGTGCATTATTTGCCGACGCTAGGACTGGTTGGAAAAAGCGGAGAGATGGCCAGTGTATGACATCGTGTCGGGATATGAAAGAAAGCTGCAAAGGACTGGCTTCTGTTGGTCCTTCTCGACTGCCTCGCTGGGGTCCGAGAGATGGTGTAACACAGTGGCTAGAGACGTTATGAGATATGACCCATAATAGAAGCCAGTGGCGATCCTGCTGTAATCTACTCTTGCTTTCTTCATAAAAAGTGGATGTAACTTCCTTAACTGAAAGGATTCTTCTGGTTGTACCTTTCCGTTTACCCATTATTATTTTTATTACACTACACTATACTAATCTGGTCGTTATTGTTCTTTTTTTTCTCTTACGCTCCCTACCTTCTTTTTTTCTTTCCATTCTCATTGTTATGTGTGGCGCATCCATATTTGGTGCCCTCTTGTACCAATACTTGTGTTCAAATAAATAAATAAATAAGTTTGGCTTATGCCAACTTACGTCACCTGTGGCGAAGGCAAGATATCCGTCTATCAATAAAAGGACAAGTATGCAGCGCAGCAGTTGGTTCTGTTTTATTTTGTGGCTGCGAGACGTGGCCAGTAGGCATAGAGAGAGGGTACTCGTAAGTTACTAGTATTTGATTCCATATGTTTCAGAAAGATTTCCAGCACTGCTGGGATCACCGGGTAATAGTGAGTAATAATGATGTTAGACTCAGGGTATCAGGGAATGATGGTAAATCAGTTGATGAGTTTGTGGATCTTCATCGACTGGGGTGGTTGCGCTACGTATTACGCATGCCTAACCACCGACTGTCACGGTGCACAACGGTGACAAGTGTTGGAGAAGGTTGGAAGAAAGTTAGGGGTGACCAAACCAAAACGTGGCATCAGTTCTTGGAGTCACTAACTTCTGGTCTGAGCCATGTTGGTATATGCAGACTACTTGGTCGGGGTCCGTGTGACTATCGTAACCAATGGTTGGAGACTGTGGGTGACGTGGCTTAGAATCGATCACAGTTGGGTGGGTGTATACACTCTCTGCCTTCCCTTAATATATTACTATCACTGAAATAACTACTTCTATGAATTTGGTGATTATCTTGTTGTGCTAATAAGGCGTGGCAACTTTGACCGATGCATATATCTGCCTGGTCCTACGTTGTAGCTGACTGACTGAGTTACCCCAGACATTTACAGGTACGGGCTTCTAATTCGTTTTGTATATTTTATGGAAATCGTAACAGGACTAATATCATTAGTACGAAATGAATTTCACAAATTTCTGACGAGACAATCATGTGGGAGCCAAATGTGTGACTGCAGTAATATCAATTACTTTATATTTATTTATACTGCCTGTACGTTTTCACACATGACCTTGTTAACCACTTTCCACTAATGCTAAAATGATTATTTATACTAACATTTTGTGGAAGTACATTTCCTATACATGCATGTGTCTGCATGTATATTTATTGCACTATGCATATGACTCTATAAATGTAGACAAATAATTTAATTATTTAGTGTGTAACCAACCCCAACTATTTATCTATTCAGACTCGTATGTCTGCTACTCATATGCATACTAGGGATATACGTACCCTTCATAGATTTCGTATACTAACTTTTGGAATGAAATCCAGTCCAGTAATATACACGAAATTAATCTTGGGATATATGTAAATAACGAACGCTGAATAATCGAACTAATAGTCAGATAAGACTGTTAAAACTCATTCCACTAGCTATTACATTGCTACTAGTCACACTACGGTAGTAGTCATATTACTATAAAAATAACCTTAGTATAAGAAAAATCGTAGTAGCACCCGTCCCTATTAACACACTTCGACTGCATGTGGCAGACAATACTAAACACTACGTTGACAGGTGACACATAAATATGAAAAAGTAATTATCATGTAGAAACACCTAAACCATTTGACCGCTAACGTATCCAAATTATTCAGTTAATATTAACAACATAATGACATGACAAAAATCATACTGAATTCTCGATAAATCCTCCGACTGTTTTTTAAATACTAAATAACGGGAAAAACGAAGATAGAACTTTTGAACACCACATATGTCACATACTTATAACAAGGTATTTTAACCATCAACTTATGAATGGTTAAGGATGCAAACAATCATACGACTTCGCTAATGTTTTACGCAAAAAGAAAAATTTTTTGTCGTTTATCAAGATCATGAGAAGTCTACAGCGATAAAATTTATTTATTTATTTAAACACATAAACATTGGTACAATGATGCACCAAATAAATCATTCGATCTGTGTAATGGTTGGGATACTGCCCGGATGCCCAAACCGAAACAGGTTTTCTTAAGAGGCTACACATCCGCAGCCCTTGACTCAAAGGTCTGAAACACTAAGTAGTGGAGCAATGTCAGGAGATGTAGTTTCATGGTAGCCGGTGATCAACATAAGGCTCATACGCCACTTGTTATTTAGGACACTGGAGCCCATGTGCACCAATGGTTTGGAATTAGGGTTTTCCAACTCCCCTAGGTAGACCCCCTGTGTCCACCAATCCGGTTAAAGCGCCGGATATTCACCTTTCGTCCTCTCAATTTCGTAAACAACACCCTCGCCGTGAGAAGGCAGTGAGTAGAACTTCTCTGGCAGTGGTTGTATGCACATGGCCATGTGAGAGCATCTCGAGACGGAGAGCTGACTCTCCCCACTATCAGCCGTATCAGGGCATTTCGGGGCGATGAAATGGAAACACTTCATTCCCTAGAATGGAACTAAGATAATAAAAATATAGCGATGAAGCATATGAACCTAATGAAAAGTTATGTAGAAAGGAAAGAAAGCAGCAGAGATGAATGAGGGGTAGATCTATGCTATAGCTGTAATTTTAGGCATAGAATGTGAAAATAATCAGTCCTTTGAACGTTGACAATTCCTACAACACTAACAAGCAATCAAAATGAAGAAATCACTTTTTATCAAAATAGTCTCTATTTGTGAAGATGCAATGAAATACTCAAAAAATGTACAATTCATTAATGAAACTAATCGTTGTCTAGTGCATGGAGTTGTTTGACCCAAGACAAAAGTAACTGACTGAGCGACGTATTTCATCATGATAAACGCTGTTTAGTCCGGAAGAATTTGATTCTGAGAGTTCTTGACTGACTGTGCTCTGCAGAATAGGGACCTCAAGACATAAGATAGAATTAAGGTCGTCCCGACACTTTATTTTTAATTGCCTATAAAAATGAGTATTTTTATACATATCTCCAACCATTTGACTTAGAAGTGATGAAATTTCCGTCATACATAATCTGCGTAAAATAGACTTAGTAGCTGATTTGCTTGAATTATTCTCGGATATCTCATTAAAATTTAAGAGCGAACGTACATTAGGAATGAACTGCGAATCAGCATCACATTTTACTGGAGCCTCTGAAGATGAAGTCTTACACGACGGTATATCATAAGTCATGCTATGGGGGTTATGATTACGGTCACAATAATTTTCTTCTTTAAATAATTTCCTTGATGATTAAGAGTAGAATGGTTAGCATCTTGATGTCCGTCGACTGACTTAGGGGCATATAGGTTTCCTTTTTCTAACATTTTCAAATGCTTTTTACCGGTCTCATGCCGAATTAAATCAAAAGGACTCATGTAGGTTTGACAAACATCGCAAAAAGCCTTATTAGTAGGTTTTTTATTGAGCGGCGCCTTAACATTACACACTTTATCAAATGAGGATGGTTTTAACAAAACATTGGAAGGCTGATTTGTAGATGGTTTGCCAGAGTGATTGCTTATTTTAGACAGACTTTCAACAGATTTTTGGATGTTATTTTTGTCATTACTGAAATTAGCAGTTGAAGTTCTACACGGATTGTGACAGTCCTCCTCGTAGACATGTTTCCAATAGGCATCCTGGTCACAAAAAATAATTTTGCAAACAAAACACTCAACAACATCTGACATGTTGAGTCAACCTAAAAGAGGATAGTGAAAAAATAATGAGGGGGACCAAGATATGTGACTGATAATATGAATTTAGAATAGGAACAAGCTCTCATTACAGCTTAGCTACATAGGTTAAAAATGCTTGTAACCCATTCAACGAGTGAACACCAAGTTGATTTTAAGCCACATTGTTTTCGATGGCTAGTAAAACCACCCGGTTACTTGAATTGAAGTGGTTAGAATGGCGTTGGGACGAATAACCTACTAGCTGAAAGTTAAGTGCTATGACCAAATCATTTCCATGAATGTGTTCAATTTAACACCGAGAAGAACTATGGCAATAACAGCAATTTTGAGCTACATTTGATGATGAGTCATATAATTTCCAGGACTCTACTCAAGGAACTGTTGAACAGTAAACTAACACTATGATCATTCACTTCAAGGTACTGCGTTGTAAACTATCTTTACAGGTAAGCTCCACTAAACACTATGCTGTTTGGACGCCACTGCAATGGCATAGTTCTCATACATAAGCGGTCAAAACCTGTGGGTGCAGTGAATTTATTAAGTACATGTCTGAATACCAGCTATTCAATGTTGGGATTACTTGCATGGTGCCTATCGTGTGTAGGACGATGATATTATAGCTATATAATATTTTAAAAAAGAAATCTCATAATAGTATAGCAGAAGCAATGTTTATCAAACGTCACTGCGGAGAACGTGTGAAAGCTGAAGCCAGGAGAGGGTTGGGGGTGAAAACAGAACGAGCACCAGGAAGTGAGATTTGATCCTGGAAATGATTAGCTCGAGTGTTCCTGTACGTGGAACAAAACTCAGAAATAACAAATAGATACTTTTTGATCAATTAATTCTCACTGGGACTGACTATTTAAGCATAACAACACACAGAGTCTTAGTGAAGACCCATTATAGTTTGATACATTAATTAGTCAACTTAGCTTTCAAAATTACATGGCTTTGAAACATATAACTGGCATACTTTAAACGGACAAACAACTTCGTTACAGTATTGGGCAGCCACCTGAGGTGAGGGTTCAAAATCTTACTTAAAAATGTCTTTGAGCTGATATCAATCAGTGTAAAAGTTATACACAGCGTCCATGAGCATCATTCAATATGTTTGCGAGCCGGAATACTGCCCTGGTGCCCAAACGAGGATGTTTTTTTGGGTCACTCTTCGAGCTTTTACATGAAGGTTTAATCCACAAAGCAGTGGAGCAATGTAAGGAGATACAGTTTCATGATAGCCGGTGACCATCAACAGGTCCCTTCAGGATACTGAAGTCCATGTGCACTATTGGTTTGGAATTAGGGTTTTCCAACTCCCCTATGTGGACTTTCCGTGTCCACCAACCCGGTTAAAGCGCCGGACGTTCACTTTTCATCTTCTCAACTTCGTAAACAACACTACCGTCACGAGTAGGACTTCCGTGGGTGTGGCTGTATACATGTGGCCATGTGCGAGTACTTTGCGAGGAAGAGCTGACTCTCCCTTCTCTCTGCCGAACCAGAGCGTTTGGGGGAAACAATAATTTAGAACTATTAATTACTTCTTTAATCTAGGAATAAATTTAAACAAGTTGGTTTGATCATTGTTCGAAAGAAGGACAAAATATTTTTGTTATTCTTGATAACAAACAATACAACTTGAATGCTTTGACGAGTTTAACATTCGTAATGAAGATCAAACTCTATTGTCCTACTTAAACTATAGTCAGTTGGCTAATAGATCAGATATTACAGTAAATGTAGTTCTAATATTTGAAGGAAATTGATAGAAGCACCAATTAAAAGACATACGCAACTTGAAAAGCATTTGAAATTTCTAAGGGACTGATGGTCCTGATATGATTTAATCCTGTTACACCTATCGTTATTATCGCAAATATTACTTGGAAGACAGATATTCTTATATACTCTATCTTTAGACTTTATTATAAAAGATGAATACCACCTTATAGGTAATTCTTAACGTTAACCGACTATAATAGAAAAGATGCAAGCCACAAACCATACAATACATTGTTTATTACTTTTTAAATAAATGAATAGGGAAGGGAACATATTCTTACATTCCACAATTCATAGAGATTTTCCTACTAGTGTTAATTAACGAATATAGTTATACTTTAATCAAGTTGATTTCTTAAACTCCGTGGTGAATAATATTAGGTCGGGTTGACAGTAAACACTTAAACACACATAAACATATTGGTGACCATATATATGGGAAATATTGATCTTTATGTTAATTAACTATTTAAGTAATCTGAACTTGAAAAAATTTCATGTTATTTCCTAAGAAAGTATGAAGATGTCGACAGCAATAATTTAAATTGGACGTCCGAATACACGGGAGTTTAGTAACCAAAGATGAATTCATAAATACAACTTGGCGAAACTCTAATTTAGCGACGAGCCAATCAGAAGCGCTTGAGCAATTTCAACTACTAGCCAATCAGAAGAAAACGCTAAAAACATCGCTAAAATCTTCAGTTACCTCTGTATAAATTTGGAAGTATGTGGTATGCAACTGTTAATATATTCACCTATGAGTTTGCGTCCAGTTGGCAGTATTTTTTTCTCAAAAGACATAAACAGGAAGGTCTGGTAGGAATATTCCGTCTCTTAGTGAGAAAATCGGAAAGAGAATAAACCCCAAACAACCAATAAAGCGGAAATAAAGGTGAACAAAGGGGACGGAAGCGTAAATAGAGGGGAAATGTCGATTTTTCCCCCTTACTTCGTGTATTCGGGGGAAATTAGTCGACAACTATACGTAACGTACCGTGTTTGAATATGCCGCATCCCGTACTTATATTTTCACAAAAGTCCATAAAATAACGCACTGTTTAATAAACACACAAAACTATTGTCATTAACACAAGTTACAAAATACGGACACAAGGATTTAGCTGAGACACATATAAACTGACTTTGTTTTTTGTTTAGCTAAAGTGTTCCGATATGCTTAGTAGCCATCACAAATAACTAACGTGATGCAAGTGAGTGACGTGCTCTCCGTTTTTCATGTTCATTATAACTAATTACCTTGTTAGTCCAATATGATACATGAGAAACTTTATTCAGGTGTTGAGAAAGTTTGTTTGATTTTCAGTGAACTTGCAATTAAATATACATGCTTAAAATAACCCATAGTGTCATTGATTAGTACGTAACCTCATTTGTTATTTATCCTCGGATCCATTTTGGCGATGCAATTTTTTCTATCCTCATATAGACATACATTTCCCATATAACTATATATACGAATGTACAGCTTAAGTAAATGATTTCGTCGAAAAGAAAATTTTCTTCGCTGAATTCTCTTTTTCTTATGCAAATACACGTGCCTTATTAATAATACATCACCTGTTTCTTCGTTTGCAGATCTTTTCAAATAACAATGAATTGATAATTACAATGAAAATGCATGACGATTGTTGCTCAAGCTTCTGCTATATTGTTGTATAATAATACGCTTTTTCTTTTCAATAAATTTATTTAAACATATACCATTTTTCACGTGGATGGAAGTTTTAGTGTGGTGTGTTGTGGGAATAAAGGCGAACATAGGAGACCTTTGGAGTTATGCTAATGGTGTTTTAAAAGTTGGAGGAAAAGTAAACAATTTAGCGTGTATTTCGACGAAAAGTAGACAATTCAGCGACATTTGAGAGACAGAGCGGCAAAAAGGGGGAAATCCGCATTATTTCCTCCGAACAGGCGAAAAAGCAGACATATTGGTGTGTTTCCCCTTTGTTGGTTGATTGGGACAGAGAAACAAGAGACTAGCAACTCTAAAAACAACGCTTATTGCTTTTCTAGAGCTACTGCCAGTCCCAAGAACGGGGAAGAGAGGAGGGTTGTGCATGGGGTCAGCAACCCCATCCCGTAGAAAACAAACTTGCCAAAAAACGCCAACCATATTAAACAATTTAAACTATTAAACCACTTAAATTCCGCCCTCCGAGTTCAAGGGTCATCATTCATGAAAATTGTGACGGCTCATGATGAAAGTTGAGATCCTTCGGAAGACACAGGGCTGATGCTCCTTCTAACAACCATAGAAACAATTCTTATAAGTAAATGGAATGTCAGGATAATGTGGGACACCGTGAGGACCAGTCAAATAGCAACGAAAATGAGGAGATACAATTTTGACGATGCTCGGAATCAGCAAAAATATGTGGAATACCTAGTAACAACAGCGGAAAAAGCTGTAAGTGAAGGAAATATGAGACAGCTATATGATACAATGAGGAAACTAGCAGGGAAATATAGTAAACCAGAGAGACCGGTCATGGACAATGAAAGTAAGCCAATCACTTAGATTCAGGGACAGAGGGACAGACAGGTGAAATATTTCGAGGAACCCTTGAATAGGCCAGTCTCATTGAACCCTCCGGACATCGAAGCACCACCTACAGACCGTCCTATAGCCGTCACTTCACCAACGACCGAATAAATCAGGATGGCCATAGGACAAATCAAGAGTGAGAAAGCAGTAGGACCAGACAATACACCAACCGAATCACTTAAGTCATACAGAATTAACTGCAAAGAAGCTCCGCATTTTATTCAAGAAGATTTAGGAGGAAGAACAAGTGACGACGGACTGGAAAGAAGAATATCTCATCAAGATTCCTAAGAAAGATCTGGGCAAATGTGAAAAATATAGAGGCATCACACTACTATCTGTACCGGTAAAAGGTTTCAACAGTGTTGCTGAACCGGATGAAAGATGCAGTAGACGCCCAACTTCGAGATCAACAGGCTGGATTCTGTAAGGATCGGTTGTGCACAGACCAAATCGCGACACTATGGATCATCGTCGAACAACCATTTGAGTGGAACTCGTCACCATACATCAACTTCATTGACTATGAGAAGGCGTTTGACAGTGTAGATAGGAGAACATTATGGAAACTTCTTCGACACTACGGAGTTCCTGAGAGGATTGTCAACATCACACGGAATTCGTACGACGGACTACAGTGCAAAGTCGTGCATGGAGGACAGTTGACAGATGCATTCTAAGTAAGGACTGGAGTGAGACAAGGCTGTCTACTCTACCCCTTCCTCTTTCTTCTGGTGGTTGACTGGATTATGAAGACCTCGACATCTAAGGAATAGCACGGAATACAATCGACAGCTCAGAACCAATTAGACAATTTGGACTTTGCATATGACCTAGGATTCCTATCTCGTATATACGAACAAATGCAGATAAAGAAAACTAGTGTAGCAACAGCCTCTGGATCAGTAGGCCTCAACATACACAAAACAAAAAGCAAGATACTCAAATGTAACACAGAGAACACCAATCCAACCACACTTGATGGAAAAACTGTGTACGAGGTGTGAAATTTCACGTGACTGACTGGTCAGCATCATCGATGAACAAGGAAGATCGAATGCAGAAGTAAAGGCAAGGATTGGCAAAGTAAGAACAACATTCCTACGTTTGAAAAACATATGGAGCTACGAAACAACTGTATGGAAGCCAATATCAAAGTCAGAATCTTCATTAGGAGCTTCAAGACAGTTCTACTTTACGGAGCTAAAACTTGGAGAACTACCACAGCCATCATCAAGAAGGTGCGAGTATTTATGAATAGTTTTCTACTCAAGATACTCAACATCAATTAGCCGGATACCATCGGCAACAGTCTACTGTGGGAGAGAACAAACCAGCTTCCAGCTGAAGAGGAAATTGGGAAAAGACGATGGAAATGGATAGGACATACATTACGGAAATCACAAAACAGCATCGCGAGGCAAGTCCTAAATCGGAATCCTGAAGGGAAGCGGAAAAGAGGAAGGCCGAAGGACACACTATGCCGGGAATTGGAAGCAGATATGAAAAGGATGAATATCAACTGGAAATGGTTGCCCAAGACGGGGTTGGATGGAGAGTGCTGGTGGGCGGTTTTTGCACACACAATCACTACTACACTGATGTACCAGATAGTATTCCGGCTAGCATACTAAAACTTGGATTTGGAGATATGTGTATTTACTTCTCAGACAATTCTTGATATCACTCTGTACAGCGTGTTACCTTACTGCCCGGAGAACTTCACGTATCATTTTTAAAATAAAGACGGCTTATGAAACTAATGTCGAAAATTACCGGCGCATTAACATAACCTCAGTGGTATCTAGAATGATGAAAAATGTAGTTTAGTCGGCGGTAGTTCAGCACCTGCTTATTGATAATCCCATCTGGACCTCCCAGAATGGGTTCCTTAGGTCAATATCATGAGGTACGCGCCTAGTAGACTATCTGAATGACATAACCCTGAAGCGAAACAACGAACTCCTTGTATCAGTCCCACTCTTAGTCTTTAAGCAAGCTTTTGATAAGGTTCTAGACAAAAGGCTTCTTGTCAAACTAGAGTCCTTCGGAATCAACAACCCACTACGTTCATCATTTGCTTCATTTCTAACAGAACATAAGCAAACGATGAAGTACAATGACTCGTTCTCATCACGTAGATTAATAACTAGTGGTGTCGTCAGTGGGGCGTACTAGGTCCACTCTTGATTCTTGTGCATATATATACGTTTAACACCATAAAATTTGGGAGACCATACATTTACTCTGATGATCTCGAAGTGGTATGTAGCATTAAGTTCGAAGCTCTAAGTGAAAGTGTATCTCAGATTAAAAGTAATCTCAATAACCTAGCCATCTGTAGCGAAAAATGGAAATTACCATTCACCCTCAACAAGTATGGGATCATCCATTTTGGAAAGCACCCCTACGTACTACAACTTAAATAAAGGTAGTGTTCAAACAATAAATCAGTTTACAATCTAGATATTAATTACACAGAAAGCCTAAAATTTGAAGAACATGCTTTCTCTATTATTTCTAAATCTAGAAGGCCAATTGTTTTGATAAAAAATTTTCTTAGCAACAGAGGCTAAGCTTACCCTTTACAAAATATTTATACGACACTCCCTTGAATATCGCTCGTTTATCTTCTCAAACACTAGTACCACACAATGGAGAGTAGAAGATGTTCAAAGAAGCTTCACATGCCGACCGCTGTGATGTGACCCCAATCTCAACTACATAGGTAAGTGTAGGAACCTTTCTTTAGAACCTTTATGTCAATGTCGGCTAAGGAGCATTCTAATATTTCTTTACAACGCAATATATGGACTCTCATTTCTAACCTCCTACCTGACCATTACCCATGACCCAGTCTACAAACTCGGGAACTACGCATATACACTACTTACTGTAAAACACCGAGTGCTAATGCGTTGTAAGTTTTTTACGCTGCTGTATAGTTTATTATGAAAAAGGCCGCCAATACCTGTCCGTAACGGTGATACTATCACCAAGTTTAAAAGAATAAAAGCGATTTTACTTGACTCTAAAGAGCCTCACCAACTATTCCATAAACTTCCACACACCAATGAGGCAC